CTGCGTGGTGCTTGGTTGCTGGCTGGGGCTAAACCAGGACCCTAGCCAGGACATCAGCTCCCAGCCATGTGTGCTAACCTTAGTTAGCACTTCAATACACCTGGGGTGGAGCCTCACTTTGGGCTGTTTCCTTCTGGCTGCTCCCTAAGCCTTATTTGGGGTTTTTTGGTTTGTTTTTTGGTTTGTTTTGTTTTTTCTTTTCAGGTTTACGGCCAAGGATCTGGTGTGGACTGTAGGCACCATGTCCAGAAATTAAACTTGCTGCAGGGTGAGGCAGAGGAAGCAATTGATTGGACATATCGGTAGAGTGTTTACTCTTTATCTGCTTGTTTCTTTTGATGCGCTACATACAGGTGATGCATGTCTTCACGCACTGGGTGCCTGTTACCTAATTTGAGCTCACAGGAGGGGTTTCTGTCCTGTTGTAAAGCCATGACATGTGCCAGTTTTGTCGTCACCTCATAGGAACAAGCTATTTGTTGGGTTTAGTGTCCTGGCATGTTTCTTTTGACACAGAATTTTTTCAGATAAGTTTACTTGATCAATAGTGTGTGTTGGTCAGGCTTTTACCTGTTAAAATATATGCAATAGGGTTTGGTGTTGTGTTTTGGGGTTTGGTTTTTTTTTTTTAAATTGGTCTTTCTTATTTACTGTTTGATGAGCTGAGTGTGGAGGTGTCCATCTTACAGATTGACAAGCAGTGTGGAGGTGCATCCTCAGAGAGAAAATATCCTCCGCTCTAAGCTGTTGCTACCTAACTGTTGGCATTCAGGGGTTTCACACTGTGAATCTGTTGAGTAATCACTGCTGCTATTGATAAAAGGACTTGTTTAGTGCAAACATTTGGGTGTAATTCCTGCTGGGCTGGAAAATCTGAGTAGCACTTTCCTGTTTATTTCATTGCTGAATCTGTTTACAAATTGCCTAATCTTGAACTGGTCCAGCTTCCTTTTTATTCAAGGTTATTTTCAGAAATCAGTCAAAGCTAGTTAGATAACTTTGTGTATATGCAGTGCTTCAGGGTTAAGCTTTGGGAAGAGAACTCATTGTTTGTTCACTGTATCAAAAAGGGTTGCTATTTCTATTCTCAAAACATTTTGAATTTCATAATGTTTTGAAATAACTTCCTTTTTTCCTTGGTTGCTTGGGTTGTAATTAGTGGGTTTAAGCTGTTGTCCCAAAAGACACACTGTTATATCCCTAGTTATGATCAATTAGAATTTATCATTTTGTGATTAGCAGCTTTAGATCAAACTTGCTACTCTATTTTTATAGAAGGAAAGAGGACTACCCTCTAACTAGATTTTTTTTTGAAGTATTTGGGCAATATATCTTGCAAATCCTTTATTTGACATCTGCTTTTCTATAGTCCCTTTTTTTTTCTGGCATGTCACCTATCCGGTGTTCCTATCCATGCTTTCTATCCAATCCCTTGTGCTATGACTAGGTGTTTGAAAATTATAAATCAACAGACAGAAGTGTGTTCTAGAAAATCTAGCTTAAACATCTATTTTAGGTGCACAGAAGAATCTGTAAATGACAGCAAAAATATAGCAGCCCAACGTGAAGACAGTTCGGTCCAGCAGGTAAGATACCTACAAAGCTGAGGTAAATATCAACCCATACTGACCTAGGTGAATCACAGTGAAATCAGTGATCCTTTTATATGGGTTCAGGCAGCTGAAATGGTGTATATAATCAGAGAGGCTCCAGCAAAGAGAATGAGATGTACACAGAAACTCTCTGCTCCACCAGGATACTGAACCTGGGAACACGATACAGGAACGTGTCCTAAACTGACTTGTGATTTGAGGCACTTTGCATATATGTAACAATGCCAAAAATGAGAATCCTGCATTTTGCTGTTTTCAGTAATTCTCCAATGTTGTAGGAGGGAAGGGCACAAGTCAGTCGCTGGAGTAAATATCTGGACAGGGACAGTGAAGATCAGGAAGATGGAGAGGACAAGGCAGGTACAGAAAGGCAACGGTTCTGTTCCCGGAGGAAGAACACTGTGGAAGAACAAAGGTACAGAAAGAATTTTTTTTTTTTTTTTTTTTAATTCCTATCCCCGAGTGGTGACAATTGGTTTGGAGATGTGGGAGGTAGCTCATCTCTGATAGCTGAACAAAGTACAGGTTGCAATATATGACCTGAGCTGAGCAGGGATTTGGTATTTGGGGGTAAAACTTCTCTTATTGCTAGAGCATTTTATGAACATTTCCAGTGATCTGTGAAAAAAATTCACAGTGGAGCTAATCTGTCCTCTTTGTGAATGGTTTTCTTGGCCAGGAAACACCAGAAGAGCTTCCTCTCCAGTGATGTTCAGGAGTATGCAGAAGAAAATGGAGTTTTCCAGCTTGCCTGCCGAGCCAAAAAGGTTAAAACCTCTGAGGTATTTTAGTTGTAGGACGTGCTTCCTAACAGTAAAACAAAACAGTGTTATCCTGACCTCTTTTGTGTCATCATAATTTTGAAGTTTTATGAGTCTTCCTCTGCTCTTCTGTTTGAATGACTGGGAAGAAAAAAGTTGTCAAGAGTTTGTCTCTAAAAGGTTTGAGTCAGGCAAGAACAATGCCAACTTGTGTAAGCTGAGTGGCTGAGCTGGATTCCTCTATCAGCACAGTTGCAAACTATGCTGCTTTTGCCTTACTGAGCAGTGGCACCCGTGTAGTGTGCAGTTATTAAGGCTGCTGTGATTACCTGTAGTGCTGGTGAAGCTGGCCTGAGCCTTCACAGGCCCACCCAGCGCATCAGCCTCAGCTCTGCCTCAGGGGGCTGGTGAGAATTTGGGCGCATTTGAAGGACCTGAGTGCTCTTTCTTTGCCTGCTTCTGTGCAGCTTGGCTGTGTGTGCTGGATTTATAACCGAGCTCTCCTTCTTACAGCACAAGAAATGTTTAGTAGCAGTGCCTGATCAAGATGATGGAGATGCTGTTTCTGGAGACAGTGTGGTTCCTACTGTCTCTGAGTCCGTATTGCCTGAGGAGAATACACAAACCCCAACTGCTTGTACCAAGCCCTCAAAGTGGGAAAAATTTCTCTCTTGTTCGGACAGCTACAGCGAAAATGCTGCCAGGGCCAGCTTGTCACCACAGGAGGGCAGTGGAAGGTTGGGGCTACGCAGCACTGCAGTAGATGTTGGTATGACCAGTAGATGCTCAGAACAGACTGGAAGAACTCTACCTCAAGGTACAGGTTTTGAATTTAAAAAGTGTGCTGCTAGCACCAAGTGGCCTGCCTCAAAACTGCCTGGCACTACGGTGCCCAGCACCAGTCGCTCAGTTGAGGAGGATGCGTTGTTCAAAGAACCTCAAAGCCAGTTGGTGAGGGCAGGATCTGGTGTTTTAGAGACCGCTGCAGGAAGGTGCTGTTTGGAGAGCACAAGGAGGGCAAGCACCCTTGTTAACTGTAACACTGAGCCAAAGCCTAGCAGTGTTTCTTGTGAACACCTCTTCTGCACAGGTGAGGAGTTTGATGATGATCTCTGAGTTCAGGCACCTTTGGCATTGCTCTTTTGTTTGTTTCTATAATGTATTTGGTATGTTGAGTTCTGAGGCAACATTTTGACCCAAAGATGGCTTTACTCTTACAGAACTGCACTATTAAAGCTGTTTACTTGCTCTGTGGCTGTGTTTGGGGGAAGGATACAAGGGTGGAAGGGACTGTTGCAGAGGGCAAGTACCAGGGTTACGCAGTGTTGTCTAGCAACCTCATCAGCTAGAAATAAGAATGGAAGTAGGTCAGCTTGGGGGGGTAAGAAAGCTCCAAGGATTCCTGGCCAGTACAATTAAATTCTGTGATTAATTCCCATTACAAACTACAGCGCTCTTCCCCTGCACTACCTCTTTGTTTAGATCTCCCATAGCAACCCTTTCTTCCAGAGCTGCAGAGGCGGGCTTCAGAGCCAGCAAAGCATTTGATTTCTCTTCACAAGTGTAGCCCTAAGGGGGTACACCAAGCTATGTGCAAAAAGGCACACCTACAGTCCTGGGCTGCCTCCCTCACACAGGGAGCTGCTTGATGAAATCACATGCTCTCAGCCAAGTCCTTCCACTCTTTTAATTAATTAATTAAGCTGCGATACTTACAATAATCACACAGACTCATCACAGGTAGTAGTATTTATTTTTCCTCCATTCTACAAGCATTTAGGAACAATGAGACAGAAACCCTTAGCTGGAAGAAAGATGAACCACTGTGTAAGTTGTACTGCATTGTTTGCTTTCAGTTAGAAGGAAAGTGCTTTTTGTTACACAGACCGCTACAAGTGAGGTGGCTGCTTGGAATACTGGATGGCATCTAGCGCTGCCCCGATGTCGCAGTTCTTTGTCTGCAGGAGTCGAGTGAGCCATCCACCCTCATCAGAGAAGCCCATAGAGAGCATCTGGGACAGAGATTCAATGAGGCAAGGGTCTGCTTCTGTTGAGAGGAATAGTTTAAAGTTGAAATATTTCATGTAATTTGCAAACCAGCCAAGGCTTTAATACCATACAGTAGGTAGGCTGGCACTAATCCTAGTAAATCTAGCATAGCTGGTTAAATGCAAGAAGACATGCTCTCCTGTCTCTCAGGAGGGCAGATGTTTTAAGATACATAACCAGCTGAGAAAACTGCTGAGTCAGACACAGCTGGCCTTGCTGTAGGACTCTATGCTGTTGATCCCAGTTAAGTGGCCTGGCATACTGTTACTGGCTCCCATCAGAAAAACGCTGTCTTAAAGTCACAGGATGTACTAGTCTGCATCCTGCATTAAAAGGGCTCTCCTGAAGAGTACATAGCAAGGACGTGATTTAGGATACCACCTTTTTTTGTGTTGCTTGAATGGCAAATAGGTCTAAGGTCAGGAGTCTTGTTAAGACTTAGCTGCCCACATTCACAAGAACCACCTGACTGTCTCTAACAGGGTGCAACAGCTGCCATTACCTGCTAACAAAGTTATGGACAACTTTAGCTGTAACTTATGTGACCTTGGATTCTACCATCTCTAAAAGCAGATCTGCTTATGTCAGGCAAGTTGGCAGTTCTCAAGTGAAAGATTACTCACTTACAAAGCCTGCATAGATTCTCGTACCTGGTGGGAGATGTGGGTAGAGTGCAGCTTCTCGCAGTCCTGTAGGTCCTGGTTGGGGAGGATCCTGAGATACATCAAGGGAACTGGGACCCTCTGGCATTTGCAGAGACTGCAGTTCACCTGTGGAAGGATCCACTTCTTTGGAAGATAAGTGGGTCCAGTCCTCATCACCCCCTGATGAACTGCTGGACTCACTGTGTTCCTGAAATGGAAAGAAAAAAGGTCCAGGTGTTGCAGTGCTTTCCAGGTAGGATGCATGTTCCTACTATCTGCCTTTAATACGAAGAGTTACATCCACAAGAAGTGCCACCACCTTTGCTGTAAACCTGTAAAGCAGAGGTGCTGTACATCACTTAGTCTGCAGACATCTTAATATTCAATCCCACAATGCATGCTAAATTATTATCTTCCTTTGCAGTAAAGCCTCAGCAAGCATATTAAATTAGTGTCATAGTTCTTGTACCTGGGACTGGAAGCTGCTGTCTTCCATTTGTGTGGACACAGGATCTATCACCATGTCTTGTATCTGCTCTGCAACAGCATTTACTTCTGTAGCAGAATCTGTGTTATTCCAGTCTGGTTTGGTCTGAACATTCTGGTTAAGAGTATTGCTGCCTGACTCAGCACTGTTCTTCTCTTGATTGGGAGAAGCAGGAGTCACTTTGCTTCTCTGTCCTCCATGTTCCACATCAATATCGACTTCAATACCTAGAAACATATTTGAGATGGAGAAAGCCTTACAGAGAGATTTTTCCAAAGCACAGTCCTAGAAGAGCATGGATCAATCCTAGTCTAGATGCTGTAAGGTTTCTGTAATCCTAGAGTTTGCCATGTAACACGTAGGAATTAAAATGCAAAGCATTCTTTAAACAAAGAATAGCTAAGCACCAAACAGTCATCTTCCTCTAGACAGACAAGCCATACATGTAGAGGATCAGGGCAGAAGTTATCTATGTCCACATAAGCCAGGAAAAATCCTGAGTCACCACTGACTGAAACTTAGTGTTACAGTGGCAACATGTTACTGAAATATTTTCCTCATTTCCTTCCAAAGGAGGGCTCTGAAAAGGTACTGAGTGGCTGTTCTAAGCCTGGGCATTATTAGTGCCACAAGTAAATTAAGCCTTCAAGGCTTAGTAGCATGAGGTAGTTCCGGTATGAGTCACAACAGCTGACTGCTGCTCCTGTTAAAGGACCTTTATGCCAGTCTCGGGGATTGGGATAACAAACTGTAAGTCACTTACCCAGGGGGCTCAGAAAAGCTGCAACACTCTCCCCAACATTCTTTAAGAAGGTGACATTGGGGTCCTGAGGCTGGCTGTTAGTAGAAGCTTCTAGAAAAACAATTTCTGTTAGCACACATAGAAGCTCAGAGGGGAAGAGCACCTATAGAGTGTATCCCCATGAGATCTTGGTGCTTGTTTCCTGTCACTTGCTTACACTGCACAACAAAGGCAGCAGAGACACAAAAACTAACTCTGAGCTACCTCTGGAACAGAAAACCAGTGGCATTAGCATTGTTAAGGCTCATTAGCCATGCTGAAAGGCGGATCTGGAGTAGTGACATGCTTGACCTAACAGCTCAGCTTGGTTTGGTTCCACATAACCTCTGCATCCTCATCTACTGCATGGGCCAAAGCACGCCTTAAAATGTAATCCTGCTCCATGCTGAAAGGTCTTTTTCCTACCCAGATTCCACTCTGTGCTGCAGAACCTCAACTACTCTGGCTCCACCACCACCATTTACTAGAGCATCTCCTCTTACCTTCTGCAGCGGGTGGACTAGAGGCTGCAGCACTGGCTTGGGCTTGTTCGGAGTTTTGGCATGGAGCTGCAGGGCCAGGATATCCCCAGCAGTGCATCCATGGGAAGGGTGGAACACCATGCCGCATTTTACGGAGCCAGCGTCCTCGGGGAAGCCACTGTAAAGGGTAATGTTCATGTGACTCTGTTCACACAGCCAGATTCTGAATAACTGAAACCTATGACTTAAATTTGAGGAGTATCATAGAATGCTTTGGGTTGGAAGGGACCTTTAGAGGTCATCCAGTCCAACCCCCTGCAGTGAGCAGGGACAGCTTTAACCAGATCAGGTTGCTCAGAGCCCCGTCCAACCTGACCTGGAATGTTTCTAGGGATGGGGCCTCCACTACCTCTCTGGGCAACCTGTGCCAGTGCTTCACCACCCTCATTGTAAAAAATTTCTTATGTCTAGTCTAAATCTATTCTTCTTTAGTTTAAATCCATTATTCCTTGTCCTGTCACAACAGGCCTTGCTAAAAAGATTGCCCCCATGCTTCCTATAGGCCTCCTTTAAGTACTGAAAGGAATATCCCATTCATTAGTTCCCCTCCATAGATTTTGCTCACCTCAAATGGATTTAGCAGTGGACTTTGAAACATCACCATGTTGTGCTCCTTGTGGATGCCTTTATGCTCACAGGTGCTGCACAGGTCATAGTCTGGACAGACAGTGCACTTGAACCTGGTACCCACCACCGGTCCTTCACAGCCATCACAGATCACATTGGGGTGCACCATGTCCCGGGGAGGCTCCTGGCTGCACTGCGAGCGATGTTCCCGCCTGCACTCCTTTTTCTCTATTAAGGAAAGGAAACTTTGCATCAAGAACGAGGTTACTATTTAAAGGCTGGAAATCAGGCAGAGAAGGAAGCACAAACAGCCCTTGTCAGAGCAGTATTGACTTACTAGGTCAGTTTATTTTTACACTGGCTGCCAAACACAAGCTGGGGGCATGTAAGAGAACTTAAACTAAGCGTGAAGGGGTTTTGCAGATACCTGCTCCTCAAACTGAGCACGCCTTATCCCTAACAGTCTCTTGGCATGTTTATTTTAGATTAGTACCACACCACCCCATTTGGCTTCTCATCCTACCTTCCTAAGCACTGCAAGAACAAAATGTTTTTGGAGAGGGAGTTATGAAGAAATGCCAGGAGGCATAACAGATGAGAACGGGGACAAGCAGCGCTGACTCATTCGATGGACTGCAGATAAAGCTTTGCAGGTATTTACGTGAACAGAAGGGACTAGAGAGCAACTACGCGCTAAGGAATAAGCTGGAATTAAGGCTTCCTAACACACCGTTGTGAATATTAACAATACCGGTGCTAGTGTCTAGTGTTTCCAGGGAGACAGCATGACAATGGTGGCTTGCATCGGGCCAGCTGAGATGACAGGGCTAGGAGGAAACTTTACCCCACCTCAGCAGGGAGGATTCATATTCCGGCATATTACCCTGCCCTTTATTTAACCTCCCCCCGAAGGCTGCAGGTTACACCAGGCCCTTGAGCACAAGGGGAAGGGCCAGGGCCTGCTGCTCGCGTTTGCAGAGGCCTGCCAGCGAGCAGACGGCACAAAGCCGGAGACCGGCTACTGCTCTGCGGAGCTGCGCGGCCTT